ACCCTATTATGACCCTTTTAATCCTCATAAGACTTTAATAACAATTGGGAACCTCAATAGGGTCTTGGGGAAGGAAAGTCAAAATTTTTCATGCCCAAAACATGACATTTATAGGCATGAGTACCGGTACTAGAAGAACAATACCGATACTGTTCAACATGCAGCTTAAAATAAGAGAATTTTGAGTGGATAATATCGATACTCATTCATGGAGTATCGATACTAGGGTCCCGGTTTCGAGACTCACTAAATTGGTATCGAGACTAATATTCCAATGGGCATTTTTGGTATCGATATTCCCAGTAGAGGTATTGATACTAGGGTATTCTTTTCAAAACATCGAACCTAATTTTGGTATCGATACTCAGGCTAGTATCGATACCCCAGCTCTATAGTATCAATACTCAGCCAGGAGTACCGATATTATCCTCCCTTATCAGCATAGTACAAGAAGTTAATATTGATACCAAAATGTAGGTATCGATACTCAAGGGTCAGTATCGGTACCAGTGAACAATTTTGAATAAATAATCCAATTATTAAGGGATTAGACTTTAGGGACCCAATAACAGCAGAATATCAGCAGATAAAACTCCAAGTGAGAACAATGATAAATTTCAAAACAGTTAGAAACAATAAAAGTTAGGAATATATAAAACTAGCCTTGTTTGACGCTCGGGAAACAGCCAGGACACCCGAGTCTCTTTAGCATAATACAACAATCAGTTGGACATCCTAGTCAGTGGCAAGGCACTTCAGTTGCCAATTGGGCGCAGATGCCCCGAGACTCGACTAAGTAAGTTGGTCGGGTGTACGTTTCTGATGCAGCTCCGGATCTCACCCAAAATACCCAGGGTATTTTAGTGAATGCGTATTTAGTGAATGCGTGTAGTATAATACATTTATTAGTGAGGCACTGAGCTCGTAAGCTCAACATTCGGAATGTGTTTCCATGTGCAGGTTCATAGGAGACCAGTCGAGGAGCATTATCGTCGTTAGCAGTTCCAGATCATCCAAGACATCCATAGTACGTCTTGAGTTATTCTTAGAGGGCATGTACTATTTATGGACCCTTATGTATTCAGTCGTAACTCTTTGATTTAAACTCAGTGTTTTATTATTTTGAATATTTTGGGAGCTCTCGTACTTGTAAACTTGGTTTATTATATTTTCATTTACAATTATCATGGACGGATTTTACATATTACAGTTACAATTTTTTTTTAAAAAAAAGTTTTGGTTTAGTCACTCTGGTGGTCCTGTGTGACATCATGATCTAGTGACCTTCGGGTCAGATTGAATTAGAGTGTTACACCTTCTAAGTAGGGAGGGAGGTAGTGGATCTGGAAATGTAGGGAGGGTTATGATGATATACTCGTAAAGTCTTTGTTAATACGTGCTCATACACTCTTGTTAATAGTGAAAACCTGACAATGTAAGGTGTCAATACAATTTACTAAATGAAACAAGTCACTTGGATTTTGTTGTTAAATTGCGGTTGAATGATTTGCATATTTCTAATGTAATGCTCGGTCAGTGGAGTTTGCTACACTCTGGAGCAGTCTTGGACATTGGCGGGTGAGTGATTAAACATTTGCTTTGATTTTTCATTTCACGTTAAGCATTCATATCTAACCCTCGTGTTCGAGCACATCATGGTGTTCGTGTTAATATCATTTGACGTCTTTAATCAATTGATTAATGTTCAACGTATTCAAAATTTGTTGGCGATATTCGAGAGATTCCAATAAAGATAGAAGTGCGAGAATTGATTCGATGGAAGTAAGGAATGCTTTGTACAGCCTTGGATATGCAGTTCCACCTGTTTTTCAAGTTCTAATTTCCAAGTACGATGACGGAGTGGAAAGGCCCAACTCGATTTCGACAGATTCGTCGAGTAAGGCTTCCCTTCTCTTCGTAATTTTCCCCCTTTTTCCTCTTCGAAAATTTGAAATGTAATCTGAAGGATGTTGTTTTCTCATCTTTATTTTGATTTGCTTATGTGGGATGATTGTTAAGGTGAAATAGTGCTCTCCTTTTAGCTATTCCCATTCATATGGCAAAATGCTTATTGGTTCGACCGATTCAATCAGTTGAATCGGTCAACATGAACATGCATTCCGTGTAAAATCTGTATATACATGTTTACATTGATTTGTCATTGTTCGATTGAAGAGCTTGTTGTAATTTTCAGGGTCTTACAGACAAGTTCAAGGATCTTCAAATATCATGTGTATATATGCTATATATATAAAGCACATATATTCGTTAACCATTCCTGATTTTTGGCTTATGTTATTCGGGATTTAGGTTAGAGTGTCAAATAATAGTATGTGGTTTTTGGAATGTGTTATTTGGATTTAGCTGTGGGTGTCAAATAGTAATATGTGATTTTTGACTATGTTATTCGGATTTAGGTGAGTGACACGTAGTAGTAGTAGTATGAGATCTTTGGTGTATGTTATTCGGATTTAGGTGCGAGTGTCAAATAGATGTATGAGATTTTTGGCGTATGTTACTCGTATTTAGGTGCGAGTGTCAAATAGTAGTATGAGTTTTTTGTTGTATGTTATTTGGATTTAGGTGCGAGTGTCCAATAGTAATACATGATTTTTCGCGTATGCTGTTCAGATTTAGATACAGGTTTCAAATAGTAGTATATGATTTTTAGCTAGTCTTACTCTGATTTAGATGTGAGTGACAAATAGTAGTATGTTTAATTTTATTTCCAAATTTTTCTATGTATTTGAAGGGGCTTTAAAAGGTTTTGTGCCTGATTATGTGTTGGATAAATGTGTGTATTTCTAACAAAGCAAACTAAAGATTTACAAAGTATTTCGAACAAAATCAAAATGTAGAATTAGCACAGTCAGTATTCAATAGGGATGTAAATGAATCGAGTTTGAATGGATAATTCTTTGTTTATGTTAATTTATTTAGTTGTGAGTTTCTTCGAGTTCGAGTCTGGTTCGTGTTTGTTAAGAAGCTTAAAATTTTATTTTTGTTCGTTTATTTAGATTATGTATGTTATTATTTGTTTAATGCTTATGAACATGTTCATTTATCATTCACGAACATATTCATTTAGCATATTTCTAGACATGTTTACAAATATTAATCGAACATTTTTATCAATACGTTCATAAATATATAATTTAACATGTTCACGAAAAATAAAAAAATACATATTTTTGTGTCGAATTGACCAAAAATTGAATCTTAACCCAACCCGTTGTCATCCCTATTCATACTCTCTGACCGCCAGCATGATTAGGATCCATTGCAAATTGCATGATCTGAGCTAGGATTAGATTCGATACCTCAACTTCTATAATTCTAAGTCCTTATTTTTCTTATCCAATTAACCTTTATATTTCGTTGTTATAATTTCGAAAGTTTATCAATTCACACTCATTTGATGAACATTGACAGTCGAACCTAATATTTCTCTTAGACCAATTAACACCTCATGTCGTGTTACGATATTGTCGAATGAAATCTCGAGAGTAGTTATAGTTGGATTTAAAAGAAGAGTTTAAAATTGAGAGATGCTTACACTCTTGTTAGTAATTTAGATAAGAGTTTAAAGAGAGAAAAATTTGGGAAACATTTAGGCTCAAGAAGAATAAGATTCCTTGATTCAAGGTTGTTTGGAGTGTGTGTTCATCCACACCCGCCACTCGTTCATATCATGATTTATGCTTATGGATCGTTTGTCAACAAAGGTTCGTATGCTATCTCGGAGGTGTTGAATTGATCTCTCTTTGTGGTTCTAAAAATAAATTCAAGGATCGTCTTTTTGCTGAATGTGTTCTTTCAAGTTAGATTTGGATGAAGATATTGCATATTTGTCTTGTTAGCAGGCCTATGAGTGGTTGGACGGATATAACGAGTTGGATGCAAAATCATAGTAGAGATGAGTCATTAAGGGTTGTTGTCATACGGGTAATCTAGTGTTGTTACCTTTATCATATTTGGCTGCATGGGCTAGTCCTCGACATGATGGGGTTGTTCTTCAGATTAAAAATGTCGTTAACAGGTTGAGGTTGAGGGTGTATATAGGGATAATCTTAGGCGAAGCTGATGGAGGTGATAATCTCCTTAAAAATTTGAAATTATCATATATTTTAAATTTTATCTATATATTTTTTGTTAAAAATTTATTTTCATCTCCTAGAATTTTATAAGTTTAAATTTGTCTCTTAAAATTTTATTAGTTGAAGTTCATTTACTAATATAAAATCATGTGATTTTAGGGCAGGGTGCAATTTGATGTAGTTTTTCTTTTTCGTTTGTTTATGCCGACTGCCAGGTGTTGATTATCTTATCTGTTATAGTTGGTCTTTTATAATTTGGTTTACTTTTGGATGAATAAAATCATATTTATCTCAAAACAAATATATTGTCGACTGAAATTTCTAGAAATTTATTAAATTTTTATTTTTTTTAATGAAAATCATAAAATTCACATGAAAGAATCATAAACTCATTGTATCAGATCATATCTGAAAAATATAAAAATTGAACAATCAAAATCGATCAAATGTATTAATTTATTTAATTTTTTAATTCAATAATTTAATTGATTTATTTTATCCATTTGAGATTTGGATTGGGTGAAAATTTTTGATTTAATTAGTTTTTTCCCTCAAAATTTGAGGACTTTATACACTCTTAGACCATTAAAAATTGATTGTTAAAAGAAACCACCATTACCAACAACCAGTTGGTCTAGTAGGATGAGACACTAGGTCTCTTAAGCAAGGTCAGGGGTTCGATGTATAGGTTTTGTTCCGATACTATAACTACAAACATTTAGAAAAGAAACAACCCCTGTAAAGTTTTTGATTACCCAACACACATCAAATAATTCAAAGAACCAAGATCTTTCAAGACTGACGAGCTTATTGTTGCAAATATAGACTGCAGATCATAATATTATTTCTTACGAGTTAATATATCATTCACATAAACTGAGAAATAAAAGGCAGATGGATGAATAAACAAACATATGAAACTGAGTTCCGAATCATATTGAAGCAGAAAACTACTTATCCCTCGATACAGAGCTCGTGGTGCTTGTCTTGTGCAGTTTCAAAGAACGAGCTCCTAGATACCATTAAGGACGAAAGCCTTATTACAACATAAAGACGCTCGGTTGCACCAAATGGACAATCAATTATCTTGTGGCGCCTCAAATCTTGTTGGCGTATCGATGCCCATCATGCAGCAAAGGCCTGATACTAAAATTAAAAGCAACACGAGTCCCTGAAAATCAAGTAGTGCAGCCATATTAGAACCCCATATATGTCACAGCAGCTGACACTTTTATGAACATTGAAAGACCGGAATGCATATTCAAATTCGTATAATCATATCACGACACTGATAAAAATAAAAGCATACTGAATCCAAGAAAGGATTAGTTAACACTGAAAGACAATAATGTATATCCATATCCAAAAATATAACCATATAATAGAAAGTAGGCATGTAAACGAACCGAATGAACACAAACAAGGATGTGTTCATGTTTGTTCATTTAATTTTAACCGAACAAACACGAACAAATAAATGAAAATAATTTATTCTTCGTGTTCGCACGCTAAATAATGTAGCTTATTCATGTTCATTCATTAAAATGATAAATGAACGAACATAAAATATAATTTTCTTTTAAATCAAGAAAAAATTCTTAAAAGACAATAAATAAACGAACATAAATATAAATTTAATTAAACAAGCGGATTACCGAATGTAAATGAACATAAATGAGCAGATTACCGAATGTAAATGAACATAAACAAACAGATTACCGAACGTAAATAAATGAAGGAGCCCTTTCTTCGTGTTCGTTCATTTAATTAAACAAACAGAAAATCTTGTTCGCATTCGTTCAATAAATAAACGAACTTTGAGCCGAACGGTTCACTGAACGTTCAGTTCGTTTACAGCCCTAATAGAAAGACGTTATTGTTAGATTAGAGGTGAGAGAAGTGTGGAGCGCAAGGGCAGAGACTTACAACTAAAACTCCCTCTAGGAGTGAGGATTTTAGCTTGCAAACCTCATCACAGACTTGAGCACTAGCTGAAGCATTCTTTGGAGTATCTTCAACAAGAAACCTTTCAAGCTCTTTATAACCGGGGTAGTGGATGGATTTAAAAGGATCAGAAACATAAAGAGCTGCATATTTCACCCCAGATTGCTCCACTGAACTCATAACTTCATTCAAAATCTCGCCTGCATATTTAAATAAAAACGAATACGCTTCAGAGAAATGAGTCTTCAACAAAATAAGACACGTCATAGTATAGCATACTCTCAGGGAATGTCTGGTCGAGCTCTTTCAGAGATTGAAAGCCCCCATGGCATAGAACAACCAAATCAGTTTCCCCCTTTGTTCTCTGTTCCATCCTTGAAACTAGATGATCCTGTTTAATTTTTTATCAGAAAATTGTGAAAAAGGAATTAATAAGATTGAGATGACAAGATGCTAAAATCAATGTCATACTACCACATTTTGGGCAATTTTGATGGGATAATGAGGTGGGGGGGGGGGGAATAGTTCCTATGGGATGCCGTAGAAAGTATTTGGGGTGTTGTAGAAAGTATTTTTTCCAAGTAGGGTGAAATGAATAGTAGATGGAGGAAGACACTCATACTACCTGACATCTTTAGGAAGACGCTGGGTTAGGAAGACGTCGGGAAGCACAGCATCTTCCCTAGGCTAGTGTTAAAGCCAACCTTATCAATGTATCAACCCAGACAGCGTCTTCCCAGAGATGCCAGGTGGTCCAGATGTCTTCTCCCCCCATACACTACTCATACCACCCTAGTTGAGAAAATAAATTCCCCTTCACCCCATATGAGCAATTCTTTTTTTTTTCACCACATTATCTAAGGAAAATTGCCCTCACATTTTATATTGATACATTTTATTTTATTTAAAGAAAAAAACTATTGAAAACTTACATGGATCGAATGCAAGTTTCCAAGTTTCTGGAAACCTCCACCCTCTATAGAGCATGATTCCGAAAATGCAACATTACTGATTCCCAAACCACGCCCACAAGCTTCCTTAAAACTTGAAACCAACAAATTCTCCATTGTTTCCTCTTCGGAGGTAGCTACATATGGAAATGCCATTGAGAAGTTGGACCTGGTAAAAGAGGCCTGTTCAACGGTATGCGTCATTATGAAAAAGCAAAGACATCGAATCTAATGTAATTAATGCACTAGCTAATGACTATATATATATATATATAAGAATTGTAACCAGGTGAAATCTAGTCACCTTAAGCAAGTTCAAAAGAGCCGGATCCACATGTTTATTTCCTGCAACATCTGAAGAGTGCAACTACAGAAAAAAAAATCAACATCGTAAGTCAAGTGAACAAGGAAGCTAGCACAGCTTGCAGTTTATCACAATGCAACAGCGAACTAAATGTACCTTCAACCTCTTCAAGGAAATAATTAATAGCCTATTACCATCATAAGTCACAACCTTATGTTTATCCAGATCGTGACAAAATATCAACAATAATTGTAGATCACAGGGATGATCTACAGTATCGATTACCCAAAGAAGTAAAGAAATTCACTCCGCAAAAAACATCATCATCATCGAGGGGAAAAAAGGTCCATTAACATCATTAGTAGATCACTTCTCCATGTTGTAGGCAATGATTTGACGACAAAAGATGCTTAAAACTCAAAGCTTACAGAATAATATACAACATTCGAAGAATATTACCTCTCTACCAACAAAAACAATGGCGAGATCGACAGAGCGTTCATTTTTCCTCCCAGAGCACTAAAATCAAAACATAAAAATCGCAATTAATCAAGAAACCCAGCAAATTTAAAACCATGGCTAAAAGACTGAAGGGAAAGAAAGTTCAAAATACCAGTAAGTCAGACCAGCCCCCTTGAGAGAGAACAGAGTTTGCTAGATCCTTTGGAGACGTGATCTGATAATTTACATATTCCTTCAATTCATTGTTGGATAAGCTGCAAAAGCACAAGTCAAGATATATTCGGGGGAAAAAACGAGATCTCAATTATCAATTTACAAACCCTAAACTAGAAACTTCCAAATTTTACAAATTCGATCCAATGAAATCAGAAATTAAGACAAAAGAACTTACACCGGAGACCATAGAAAAGCGGGAACAGTGGATGCCGATGAAACCTGCGCCGCTGCAAAGAAACCCACCATCATCGCCACCACAAATATCTTGAAACCCATCGTGATTATTGGAATTGTGTATTTTCCCCCTCTTTTCCCCCTTATTATCTGAACAATTTGATCCGATCAATTCGTATATGTGAAGATGGAGAACCAGATCTTCGTTGGCACTAGAAAAACAACAAAATAAGGAAGGTGCATTGTTACACTTAATTTAGACTTTGGGAATTAGGCCGTCACTAATACTTTGGCCCAATAAAATTCTCAATGGGGTTATTTTCTTTGTATACTCAAACGAGTTAAGTCGAGTTCAAGTATTGTTGTGTTCGACTCGAAAATTCAAAAATAGAATTTGACCCAATTTCAAAATTTGTGAGCCTAATATTTTTAAACTCAACTCGAACTCGAAATCATTAATTGAGGCTCGTAAAAGCTCAAAATGGAAAAAGATATTAAATTTAACTTAATTGAAGCTCGAACTCGAACTCGAACCTGAACTTTAGATCCATGAAAATCTTATACTCTATTTTTATAAAATAAAAAAATAACACATAAATGTTAAAATTATTAAAAATATATATTTTTTTAAAATAAAATCTTAATATAATGTATTTTCGAGTTATTCGTGAGCTTTTCGAGTTGAATATTAAGTAGTTTGTTTCGGTTCGTTAAGAACTCGAGTCGAGTGCATTCGAGTCTATTATTTATTGAGATTTGACCGAATTATTTGCTCAAGTTCTATCTTTTCTCATTTATATCCCTATATATACCTATAGACACTTTCTCTCATGTTTTGTTGATACTTTCAAAGCATAAAATGCATATTGTATCAGTTGTTCAACTATTGTTATAATATGATAGGTGTGTAAATAAACAGAGTGTTCGATGAACTGTTCGTGAATCATTCGTATAATGTTTGTTTGTTAAGATAAATAAATGAACATGAATAAAAAAATTATTTTCATTTAATAAACGGACGAGCACGAATAGAAGTGTGTTCGGTTCGTTTATGTTCACGAACAAGCTCGATTATGAGCTCTTTTATAAGCTCGTTTATCAACTCGTTCATTTATCTTAATGAACAAACTCGTTTACCCGTTTCTCTTTTTCCTTTTATTTTTTTACATTTTAAATATTTGTGAAGATAATGATTAAATAGAATACATAATAAAAGTGCATTTTATACTTTTGCTTTAGCTTGCAAATGAAATTAAAAATCGAATATATAAACGAACTATAAACAAGCACTAAAACAACACTAAACGAACATTAAATGAACATTAAATGGACATTAAACGAATATGTTCATGAACACGTTAGTGAAGATATAAACGAACATGTTCATGAACACATTTGCGAACATTAAATGAACATATGAACATGTTTTGAATAGAGAACAAACTAGAGGATCCAGATAATTTTCGAATACGCTTGGAAATTATCAGGAATAGAAAGTATGAACTTACGTAAAAATTGATTGGATTTCAGGATCGAGGTCCCTATTAAAAGGGTTTAAGTGCTAACAGATCTAAACAACCATTCAGAGATTGATGCTTCATGACCATTTAGGATTTCAAGTGTACCAAAAAGGTATTTATGAAACTTTACATCATAATAAATTAAGATTTCAGATTGATTCCTCAAGTGTGATCCTGATTAAAAGAGTTTGGTAAAATAACGGATCAAATCAGACATTCAAGGCCGATACGTCGAGAAATTTATGAGTCCAAAAAAATCCACAGAGTATTCAAGAACTAAGACATTTGGATATTCACGATTTTAGATATATCAAAAAAGGTTCTGATATCCAGGCATGAAGGGACACTTTAGTCACTTTGAATCTTTGAGGAATTCCAGTAAAACGACCCACCGAGGATAAACGAAAATTTGTGGTGTTAGAGATCCCTAACAACGACATCAGATCCCAAGTCAAATTGAACTACAAAGGTCTCATCAATGTGGTACATGTCCAGAATTCTGACAGGAACACTTTACGAATGTAGATTTCTTATTGCGAACTGTGTTTTGAAGTTAAACAACTTATCCTATTAATTTCTTTGCCCATATCCCAAAGTTATTCAGGAGTATTCATACATAATTAATCAACTTTATTCTCATACTGTCGGTATGATAGAGACAGTTGCCATACTCGAGTTGTACTTCATAATCCTTATTGCCAAAAATGACATTTAAGGTTTTACCAATATTCCAAAACTTATTTCCAGTTATTCACTTAATCTAAGTCATAAGTTTATTTGGGGTCCTTAAAAAACTCAAAGGTATTATAGTCATTTTAATGCTTAGTGGTATTTATGTCATTTAAGTAAATTCAGTCGTACGAAAAGCATTTAGTATGAATAATTTCCAAGTATTACTCAGAGATCAGGAATTTAGATCGTATCTCCTCAAGGTTAAAAGTCACTGTCGAAACTTTCCCAATAAATTAGGAATTTAACAGGTAAATCAAAAGTCTTATAAACTTTAAAGGTATTTTGATCATTTTCCAAGCGAGAGTTGATGATATAGATTCTTAGCGGGAAAAATTAGGATTTTAGAGTTCGAAAGCTAACTTTTTTCAACATTATTTATACTGGTACTTTAGTTCCTTAAATGGGTCATTCAAGTCCTAAACAATATACCGAAATCAGAACAAGTTCATAATAACCAGTGTAACACTTATTCAACTAGTATTTAATCATGCCTTGAACAAATAACCCATGTGTATCCTAAAACATACATAGGGTATTACAATATTACCTTGATATCTGTGCCAAACTGGTTGATCAAATAAACTCCATTCAATCGCCCTTGAACTTCAATTCAACGTCCCAAAATATCTCAGATACAAGGCAAAATGAATTCAACAAAAATGAATCTTAAACATGAAAATATGATCAAATCAAATGATAAAATGCTAAACAAATATCTTTTCGAGTTGAAATTTGGCAAAATGGAACGGAAAAATCATATTTATGACGTTGAAAAGCATTAGAATAGTTGGTCTCAGTGAAAAGTCAACGTCGATCAACATCGGTTAACAACCAATCGACGGTGATCAAAGCGATCAACAGCTCAAGCGCACGACTCGCTCATCTCAACTCAACTTGGGTTGGGTCGAGTCGGAGGGAAAATTCAAACTGGTAGGCTGACAAAAAATAAGCCCACACGTGACGACGGTGCGTTCGAGCGCGTGTGGCCATTTTCAGTGATCGGTCGGCCATCAAAATGTGCAGAATTGAATTTTATAACACGGGGTGACACTTACCACTGGTTGAAAATAAAGAAAGATGAATGACTCGTTAAAGCTTCACTGAAACTTCCTTCTCCTCACCCCTCCACATATAAGCGACGGTGAGGGTGCAACTAGTACCGACGAACGAGGGACAGCGAAAGGGAGGCAATGGCAATGATGTGTCATCATCGAAGCGAAGAACGACGATGAAATGAAAGTGGAATATTTCTTAAAGAAAGGGAAAAAAGAAAGTTGGAAGAGACAAAAAGAGGTTTTTCTTTATTTTTCTCTAATCGAGTATGGTTTCTTTTGATTACATGCCAACTAGAACTTTATATACAAAAATACATATTATTCACCTCTCTTCTGATCTGACATTCGGTAAGGAGAACTGACCTGTCTTGTTCCTCTTTACTTTTCTTTTCGCTTTCCAAACCTACGTGTGAAACAATCACACGCTAAGTCGATGACTTAGTGAGGCATATAAAACATATATATTTCATATAACATAAAGCATACATAAACATATACCATATGGTTTCATGTAACACATTTCAAACCACTTACCTTTGATAACCATTTATAAACCAATCGTATACATATCACTTCAGTATGCTTGTTTAATCACTTTATTAGCCCATGTACACTAGTGAGAATTTAAGGTATGTGAGTACATTGAGGTTGTGCACACAATGCTGTCACCACAGCTCGATCAATATCCCGAAGGACCAGTCCATAGATTCCGAAGAACCTAAGTAATCATCCATATGTCCCGAAACATAGGTAAACAGTCCATATGTCCCAAAGACATAGGTAAACAGTCCATATGTCCCGAAAACATAGGTAAACAGTCCATATGTCCCAAAACAAAGGTAAACAGTCCATATGTCCCAAAGAACATAGGTTAAACAGTCCATATGTCCCGAAAACATAGGTAAACAGTCCATATGTCCCGAAGAACATAGGTAAACCTCGACCCTTGGCATGCCAACTATACCCTAGCTCTCATATCACATAACATGGGCATTATCATTTAACAGTTCACATTACTTGTCATTTCTCTTCTGTCACATACCACATGTATGTGTAACCATGTATTCCATATCATATCACATGTATCACGATTGCCTATTCATGTCATTTCATAGCATATATCATATGTGCATGTAATCACATAGATCGTATCATATAGCTTCATTCATATCACATATTCATATAAGCTCATAGTTCTTTCACATAGCTCACTATCATATTTTCATATCATATATCTTATAATAGATTCTTATATCCTTATTTGTTTCCTTTCTACCTATTCATAATCGCATAACATATACAAAGCATATCATTATCTTTAGTCATGCATACATACAATCAATGTAATATAGATTATCACATATAATTATAACAACACATAATCATGTCCATGACTTCATGCATATTACTCTAGGAAATAGACTCGTCGCAAGTCTTATTTCCATTAAACACTATATATCTCTAGTATGCACTCACCTTGGCCTCACTAGTCAATTCCAATCTCTTATCTTTCCCTTGATCGATCTTACTTGCCAAATGTTCCGGAATTGCTTTACGCGCAGAATCTACCTAAATGTACATTTTGAGGCAATCATTAGATACCTACACATTGTAATTGGATACTAGCAACTTAAACGAACTTATTAAACCAATATTCACAATTTTCCTTTAGGGGGTATCGATTCCCTACTGGGGGTATCGATACCCTCATGACATTCTGGAATTCTGTCGTTTGAGAGGGCATCGATTCCCCTAGCCCAGAAATCCTATTTTGAGCTCAAAATTCACTTCATTTTAGCTTAAACCTTCATATTTTACTTCCTTTAATATTCCTAACTTCCATACACATATTTAAACTCATTTCTATTCCCATAATCACTTCTTTAAACCCAAAATCCATCATTTACATGGCAT